ACCTGATGGTGTAGCAAGGGGATGGGAGGTTAGCATATCAAGTTATAGGTTCGCGAGGCCTATACCTGATGTGTAGCGGATCTAGGAATACTTCTGTACGGAAGAGTATGTATTTATATATGTTTATTATACGAGTAAATAACAAGAGAGGACATAAGGGGGAAGACAGGACGAGAGGGCAGGTGATAGCCTAGACAAAGGGTCGGGGTTAGCCTGGCGGCTAAGGTGACATCCGAGACCTCGACTCCATGAGGCGGCTCCTTTTATACTGTGGTTTCCACCTGAGTATTATGAAACCTTGACAGGTGGCATGAGGAGGTGCGTCGGCGGAGCTGATGAAACCTTGGCGGCTGTCTCGAGCTGGCGCATGACTCAACATAGCTGACGTATGACTCGACATAGGTATCAGGTTATAGGTTCGCTAGGCCTATACCTGAGTGTGTAGCGGACTTAAGAGATGCTTCTGTATAAACGTATATTTATATACGTTTATTATACATACTAATATACAATAGAGAGTAGGAAGGACAAGGGGAAGGGGTCAGGACGAGTTGGCTTATCCAGCCATGACGAAGGGTCGGTGAGTAGCCTGGCGGCTAAGGTGGGCAAGGGGAGGTTGGGACAGGATGGCTATTTAGCCATGACGATGGGTCGAGGTTCAACGACGATTGACAGCTGCCTGCTTATATATCGAGCCGGGGGAGAGGGCGTGGCCAAACGTGATGGTTAGCAGCTTTCTCGATCGCGTGGCAGCGAGGCGAATGAATCGATCGACCACGTAGCATTCCACTAAGCAATCGACTTGAGGAGTCTGCTGAGTCAGGTGAGTGGGTGAGAAACCACCTGATACATATCGGTTCAAGGCCCAGTGTGATGAATAGCAGCTGTCTCGATCGGGTGGTAGCAAAACAAAGATTCAGCAGGATATCGTTTGTTCAGTAATTCCCGAGAAGTTTGATATTTTCTAAAGAGAAGATATGCTATACAGTTCACTGCTTTCATTTATAAACGATGATAACTCTTCCGATTAGTAGCTTTCCATACGACCCTTAAAAATCGCTTCTTCTACTGTCCTGGATGTGGATGTGTTCGATGATCTTCTAAATCTCGCACTTAATCGGGATTGCCCTGCACTTCCAAAACTGCGAATCCAATCCAACTTCGAATAATAAAAGTAGTAATATTGGGGTCAATAGTTAGTTGTAAATTGTGAACTTGGTTTTGAAGGAGTTGCTTGACTCAGAAATTTTATTGTATAGGTGGGATTGTATATTGTATAGGAGGTTTCAATGAAGCAAATGCGCCTAAATTTCAATGTGATGAGAAGCAGCTCCATGCGTATCCACCCGCAGATGACATTGCGGTAAAAGAATCAGCGGCTGTAGTAACATAAGTAAAAATCAACAGTACAGCTTTCTAGATCTCTTCGTTTGGTCAGTGATGGTGACCACGGTAACCATCACCACTACAGAAACTGTGTGGATGGTTCAGTGGTATTTGTGAATATGTTTGCTTTTTGGTGGTCCCACCTGACCCTTTGGTCCTTTGTATCGTTATGGGCATTCCTATACCCTTATAACGCGGTCTCAGGCTGTTAGAGCGACGAAGGATAGGGAGCGCCGACTCAGGCGACGATAGAAGCCTGGTCGCCCAGTAGAGGTTGCGGCCTCAGCTTGCTTAGATATTAGGCTAAGAAACACCGAGGATACGGTAAGGTTGTGGTTGATTCTTTATGTCGGTATATGTCAAACATCAACCCTACCTTTTGCCCAACTTCTTATTCAATATTTTGGTGAGAACCTTCCATACCGTACGCTTACCGTTTCCCCATGAATGGCATATTTTACACTCATGATCTATAAGTTTTCTTCTGAAAGAAGAATGAATGAGAGATGGGGAATTCGAATTACTCGCGAACCCTGATAAGAGACCTTACAACGTTGGGATACTAGTCGAAACCTGATTCTGCGACTCTGTGTCGGGAAATTCCAGTGAAGGGAGCATTTGCGAAGGCAGCTTATAAAGTAAATATGAACCGTTAGAATGGTTTCATGTGCCTCTTTTCCAATACATTTCAAAAATTGTTTATTTTTTTAGTCTCCTTCACAACAACACAATATCGACACAACAGTAACAAATAACAATTCATAGCATTCAATATCTCTATTCGGCTTACTCAGCAAATATCATTTGCAAAACTTCGTCATCTTTAGCAGCGGAGTGCGGTTGCTTTGACTTCAGCCTCTTTTTCTTTGCCTTCGATTTCACAACTTTTCGCTGTTCAATTTCTCGCTGAAACTTGTTCCAAAGACCACCAGCCTTAAGAGCCTGAAAACAGTTGTCAAAGTTGGTATGACTCTGTTGCAAAGGAACATTGGTCCTATAGGATTCTACGACAGGAACATTGAAACAACCTGGATTCTCCTGCCAAATCTCATTTCACTTATAAAAGTAAGCTTTGCTTTAGCAAGATTAAGATAAAATTGATCCCTTGTTTGGTAGCAAAGTCAAAAGAATGCATGAACAGAACGAAGTCAAACGAACAAGCGAACGAGTGCAGGGGTATGAGTAAGCGCGGAGACAGGAGGAACAAACGAGCCAATCTAAGGGAAATCCTTGATAAAGCTCCTAGGTGAAGTAAGACGGTCGTTGCATAGTAAAAGACCACGATGTAACCTAGTCTTTCACCAACCTTCTCTTCCAATCTTTTGAGATGTCGTCCTTTATCAACTTGTTCTTCAAAATGAGCAGCAACTCTTCTCGCTTGCGCTATTTCGGCATTCATGCGGTGCATTGAAACTGCTCGTTCATATTGTAGTTGTTCCATCAAATGGACCCATTTAAATCTGGAGGATTTCTTTCCATCAATGGCTTCAGAATAAACCACATCGAATACTTACGAACTGAGATATTTGATGTTCCACAAAACACTTGACGTGTACTCCCGTTTCTTTCCTCCAACAGGAGTATTGTCGAATCGAGCAGCCAAAGCTTTCGCTACCTTTTTCTTTTTTACTTCTAACCACCCTTCTGAGTAACGATTTTCAATCGTTTTTGCGTTTTTATTACGCTGAAAAGGTCAAATAAAGGTACAAGCAGTTGTTCTGATCATTACATATAAAATGAAACAAAAAAAGAATTGATAGAGGTTACCGTGCAATGAACTCTGCCGATCATACCAGGAGCATGTTTCTCGAAATATTCTTGTAATCTTGATGGCGTGAACTTCGGAGGGATCCGAGAAAAATAAAGTACCTAAAAAATGGGTAATATTATAGATGAAGGATACGAAATTTGAAGATAGGAGTTGTTTTATTTTATAACATCTAATATTTATTCAATTATCTCTAAACCGCAAGTACTAAAGTACCCGGCTCAAAAGAATAAGCCACTTGCAGAAACTGTCCCTCTTTTAAGAAGAATGTTTGAAATAATTTAATTAAAAAGATAGAATTAGAAAATACAATTAATTACAATTAGTGCGCTAGCTTAATATCCACATAAATTAGAGTAAATCAAAAAATATACAATGAATGATAACAGTCTTTTTTATATTGTTTCCTGAATCACATGAAAATGCAAAAGAATAACGAAAAAAATATGAAACTGACTCCCGACTTCCTCTGCTTAGACTCTGGGTTATCAATGTCGTCGTCATCTTCGTTGGCATCTTTAGATGCCCCTAAACATAACAAACAAGTGCTTACAAGATTCAAAAACTTTTGTCTCTAGTTGTAAGACAACTTTCACAGAAATATTAGCTCCACAGCACCTTCCTTCTGGGAACTTCCACCCTCTTCCGCAACGTCATGGCCTTCATCTGTATCTACAGTTGCTTCTTCCATGACTTCGTCGTTCATACCATCTTTAGCCACAAAACGACTATCTGGAGAGACTTCGGGAGTGACCGACTCCAACTTCTTTTTTCTGTAATGTGTCGATAACCGTTTTTATTACAGATCACAGATTATGAGGAGCACCTAGCTTGAGAGAACTCGAAAACTCCGGAGATTATCATTCTAATACTGCGGAAACGGTTCTTTCTATCCACCTATTGGCAACAATGAGAGGAAGAAAATATTCACTAAGAACAAAACAGCCACACTGAATATAAAAATGTGGCAAAATGGTTCCCTTGGATTAATGGTGGTGTCCCTTACAGTTATTACACATAGAAAAAAGCTTGTGTATTTGTTGAAAACTTCCAAACATTAATACTCCAAACTTGAAACTTTGAAAGAGGTGAATTCACGTCGAGCATAAAAGGAACTAAAGGCGATGATACTCACTTTAATTTCTTCTTCTTTTTTCCAACTGGTTCCGTTGGACTGTTGACTGGACTTATCATCTTAAGGTCATGTTTGGTTTGGTAGAGGTTTAATGAATATGTAGCGCAAACATGGTTGCAAAAGTTCTGTGATAGGAAGCAGAGGCTACTAGCATTTATATTCACAAACGATTGCGAACATAAATCTTTATTTGCCCACCACAAACAAAAAAAAAACATAAAGAATATTGCTGGTTATAAATAGCGACTCACAAGAGCTAATTATCTACGAATAAAAAGTCACATTTACATATTCGAAGATCATTACATACATGTCCATAGATCGCACTAAAATGTGTTAGGGTTTGTACAGATGACTGGCAATTTTCAAAAAAAAGTAATCAAAAGCTATGCCTTCAGGAAAATCTTTGGTAAAATGTGGCAAGAAATGACAAAATGACAAACAATAAACGCTGAAACAACCATGAAGGCTAAACTGATGTACACAAGTATCACAATTCGATTATGCCTGCAACCACTACACCTACACGGTCGTGGAGACTGAGAAAACAAAACTATTTATTCTTTTTTTCGTCGTCCTTCATCCTCATTTTCACTGGCAGCGCCTCTCCAGCGCGAACTTCATGAAGATCTTTTACCAACTAAAAATGCATGACGTTATACTATGACGCTCTCTCATTGTAAAATTTATTGTCACACCTGGACGCCGGCACGTCTTGCTACCCGACCAGCAACACTGCGAGGTCCAAGATCCCAAAGCTGAGCAGCGGCTAGAGATGTGTGCCCAGCAGCAAATAAGGCGTGGTGAGCTGCTTCCGAAGCTTCATCTCCGTACCTACAAGACATTTACTCAACACCCAAAAGATTGTTCACCTTGAACCTCGATTTCTTACTCAAAAAGTAAAAGGGATTCCTCCTTCAATACAATTCATCAATAACACTCGAGACTTTCGAAAGAAAACCAACTTTATCTTGACACTTTGAACGGTCACCTCCGAGTACAGCTTAATCAAAACATTGAAAGATTGATGAACTCAGAACTATTCGTTGACCGAAGTGAAGCAGTAAACTCACAGATTGCTCCAGTCACGAGTCCACCACCACTGCCTTTACCCAAAGTTTTCTCCGCACCACTTGCTAATGACTTCCCAATAGATATTCCCACATCTCCAATTTTGTCCACTAGAAATACATTTTGAAAGGAGTCATACCACTTTAGGAAATGTATTTGGCAACAGTTCAGATACACAAGAACGAAACTTCAAAACGGTTCCAGAATTCTACCGTAGTTCAACTACTTCTTAAGTAACTGTCCTTGTGAAATAACATGCTTACTAACTATACAGCCTCAGACAACATCCCTTACCGTATAACACAGTCTTTTCAGTAATTACTTAGGTAAAGGAATTTACGATGGCGAACGAATCGACTGGAATTTTTTTTTGTCGCAATGAGTAACAAACAAACAAGAATGTAATGAAGATAAGGAGAATTAAACGGATGAGTCATACTGGCCAAGTCATTCACAGAGGGCCTACTATTAATTGTTTACAACCAGCAGAGAGATAAGAAGAACGCAGAAATCTGCTTTCAAAACGTTGAAAATGACCAGTAAGTAATTGTTCTGAGTGTTCATTGAAACTGTCAATAAAACGAAAAGATCTTGTGGAAAGTAATAACAGGAAAACCTATACATTATGAAACTGCAATTCATTAACCTCCTCGATTGTGGAAAGTAATAACAGGAAAACCTATACATTATGAAACTGCAATTCATTAACCTCCTCGAGCAACAGTTATAGTATGGACAATGAGGATTCGCTTACTGCAGTCTCAAACAAGACATTTAAAGAAACGGTATGTACTACTCACACAGATATCGAGTGCATTTCGCCACCAGCTTTGATCCTTTATGCATATACACTAAACTTCCTTTGAGTGCCGGATTTATAGTCATAGGTTTTTCGGCAGGAGCCAGACCAGATCGATACCTGATCAAAAGAGAAACTGATTTAATGATAATAAGCAGCCTTCAAGTTGTCTCGAAAAAAATATATCGATATTTCTCACAAAAAAAGAGATCAAAACTCAGGCGGTACCAATCCTATCTTTGGAATACGCCTAGTATTCGACTTCAATTCAGGTCTTTTTGACCTATAGTTGATTGCATTGGTTTGAACCATAGTAGGCTCAAAAATGATCAAAGTGCAAAGAAAACGTGAGAATTGCTCCTCCAACACTTTTTAGAATAACTCACTTTTCTGCTTTATCGTATGATCAAAGTGCAAAGAAAACGTGAGAATTGCTCCTCCAACACTTTTTAAAAAAACTCACTTTTCTGCTTTATCGTCTAGGTATGAAGTTACTTTCACAGCAGCGGTCTCCACGCCCCATGCCACACGCTCACCACCTAGAAATATGTACCGTTGGTCCGATATCGAAGAAGAACCTCGAAGAAAAAGGTACTAGCCATAAAAACATCAGTTCAAGTTAACCAAGGTATAGATAGCACGAGAGATATAAAATGGTCTTCATAACATCCACATAATAATGATGTCGTGAAGCCATTCAAGGCGATGACCAACAGCGATCCTATCCAAAGTAGCCATGGACCGGGGGAAGCTTTTCAGAATTCCAGTTTAACAGAGTCCTATATAGCCGATGGTCTACATAGAGTGAATCCCACCAATAAACTTCACACTCTTAGCTGGCTTAAAGGCAAAACGCGGAGAG